AGATCAGGAGGAGTATGATGATGTGAAGAACAGCAATGAAGATGAGAGAAACCTGTTGGGTAAGTTCTTTTAAGTTTCCATTTATTAAATAATAATTAGCTCAAATAAATGTATAAATTTTAAATATTGAATACAACATTTAAGATGATATATTTGCTTTTGTTTTTTCATAACAGACTATGATGATGTGGGGGGAGGAGTCACAAAATGAGGGCAGGACTGTATGTAGTGGCCACACCCACTGCTTTGGTTAATTAAATCACAATTTAACAGCTTTAGATTTGGGTTTAAATGATCTTACATAGCCACTTCAGGTTTTAAATTTGTTTTTATTGATGAGTTCAGTAGCTTGCATTTTGTAAAAATCAATTGCTTGCTTTGCACAAGTTTGAAATTACTTTAGTACCATTTCTTTGCTTCTTTTTTTCCCCTTAACACACATTTCAACACATGCATGATAAATGCATAAAATCATGCTAATTATTTTTTTCTCGTAAAAATAGTTGTTTCTGTGCCTTATCACCCTCTTAAACTTGGAGGAATTTCCTTGTTCTGTCTTATCTAATTAAAACAAAAAAAAAGAAATAAACCAGATGCTTATTTACTTATTTGACGTTAGTTAGTTATTTGATGCTATAAAATGGGTTGTGATTGGGTCTTTGGGAGTTTGGGTGGGACTTTGATTCTGTGGCTCCACCTCATGATCACTACTGCATAGACTCTGGCTCCTAATGACGTCATCAGTGTAAGATGACAGCGGCCATTTCTGGGACATTTTGGCTTCGTTTTTCTACAGTGGAGGGAAATACAGACATGCTGTCCATCTTTTCTTAATAGTCATTTGTCTTGAAGCTGAAAAAAATGCTGCCTCCAGAACAAGGCACGTTCGAATTCAATGATCGTGTCACATCCTGTCCTAATGAGATATATTCATCTGATCGATTTTTGGAGGGAGCATAGACCCTTGTCAGGGTATCGCCATATTTAATTTTTGACTGAAAATAAAAAGATGCTGTGAGGAAAAGAAGTACATGCATTCAAAGGATTGTACTGTTGTTTAACAACATACCGGTTGTTCAGCTGATGAAAATCTTCCAAAAAAAAAATTAGTAGACAAAAACTCCATCAAACTGTTTTGAAAGCTGTGAGTTGTGAAAATTACATGATAGAGCATTTATATACAGTGTGTGACATTTTAAAGACCGTAAGACTACACCTCACAGCCTTGTATTCATCTGCTTTAAAGTAGCTTAAATTCAGTATGTGTCTAACCTGACTAAGGTTTATGGATGTATCTTTTGCCAGAGGTGGAAAGTAACGAATTACATTTACTCGCGTTACTGTAATTGAGTAGCTTTTTTGTGTACTTATACTTTTGAAAGTAATTTTTAAAATCTGTAATTTTACTTTTACTTAAGTATATTTTGTTTGAAGTTTTGTACTTCGCTACATTTTAAAACACATTAATTACTGAGTAAAAAAAAAGGAAATGAAGTGAACCCCTGACCATATTTATACCGCAAACTTTAAATATTTCACTTACTTTTGAAACTCCAGCGTTTAGTTGATCCTGATAAGCGCTCGTTGTCACAGTTGTAAACACGACAGCTTTCTTCTTTCGTGAGGGGGTTTGGCGTCACGGCATCTTTGTTTCCAGGCGGTATGTTAAAGAACGCGACACACGTCTCCCGGAAATCCTGTAGAATTCAACCAATCCAATGACGACTTCGAAACTCCTGAAGTGTTTCCACTTTTGTGTGCCATATGCATCAGACGTTTAGCCAACGGTCCGTGGGCGTGACGTCTGAGGCTGAGACTAGGCCAAAATCAACCTGTTCTCAGCAGAGCTCCTGAGAGAGGAGCTGTAAAAACATATTGAGATGGTTTTTGGTACTTATACCGCAAATATATATTCTTAAGGACATCAAAACCTAAAATAAAACTCCAGAAAGGTGTAAAATATGTGACCTTTAAGAGACTTACGTTTTAGACGCCATATTTCCATATTTGCTCTATTTCTCCAACAAAAATCATTCCAAACACAGCCACTGCGTTGTTCTGCGTCACTGAGCAACAGGACGGTGTTTCGTTCCTGAATGAAGAACAGTGACTTGCTGCCACCTACTGGCGGTTTTAATTTCACATTTAAGGTACCTTTTCATTTTTAAAATAATTTCAAACATCAGTTTTTATGTTTAAAATATCAAAACATTATTTATGCATTTGTAACTGCAGGTTAATTTAAAGTATTCCATGTCCCTCTGAGCTGCATTAAACAGTGTGTAAATACATCTAAATGCCACTTCTAATGCAGCTTCTGTGTTTCCTCTGCATTGCAAATATCAATTTTGTTGATACTGATTTTATTTGCTTGGTAACTGCCCAAATGCAAGAATTTGACTCAAAAGATGGTGCACACTTTTGTGCAGGTCTTAAAAAGGTCTTAAATTTGAGCTTTAAAATCCTGCAGAAACCCTGGTCATGCAGAAACGGGGTCTACGAGCCTCCGGGATGTGATCTGCTGCTGGAACATGTGCTGATTATTTCATCTGTGGACGTCTGATTTGATTTTGAGTTGGAATTTTCTGCTGATTCAGTGCTTATGGACAGATGTTGGTGGAATTGGTTAACACTAGGCAATGAAGATGGAGCCTCTGTGAAGTTCTGCTTTGGACAGTAAAAACCCCTAGGAGGTTAAGAAAATAGTAAAGTGCACAAACACACCCGAGAGATGGTGTTTGCAACCTGCTGTATTGTATTCACTGACCTGGATGGATTTCAGTGATGATTATTATTTTTCATGCACTGTCTTAAAAGGCTAAACATGCCATCTGTAACTCGTACTAACTTAGGTCTCTCTTATTTTTCTTTAATAACTTTAAAAAAAGGTTGATTGTCACTGTGCTGATATATAAAATGCCTCCTCTTAATTTATTGTTGATAAATCAGCTGTTTGTCTCCTACAATGGTTAATAATAATAAATTCTCAGTATCTTGCATCTCTCAGATCTCAATCTATTATGAAGCACTATTATGTTTCTTTGTTTAATTTCAGGCTTTTTTACCAAAACATTTTACCACAATAAAAATGTCTGTTTGATCAGAAAAAGATAATTGAGATTTCATTATTTTGAAAAAGAACTGAACAATTTGTAAGTGTTTAATATTGAGAGGCTCTCTCCTGTCCTAACACAAGCACAAGACACTTTTCAGCTCGTTTCTGGAATAAGTGTTTTGCTGCCATCTATTGGAAGACTAACGCATTGCAGTACGAAATTGCCGGAGTTGCCGCTTGTCTTTAGAATTTTATTTATTTTTCTGCCATCGTTTGATTGAGTAACGCATTGCTACTTTCAACGCAGAAGCCCATGCGCTGTTATTTTTACAGTAAGACATGGATTTGTGTTTTCTAACAATAAACATTAAAATTGAATTGACAATAATAATCATATAATCACATAATAATAATCATATAATCGCATAATAATAATGATGATCATCATCATAATTAATATCTAATAATAATTAATAATAATGCCAGAATGGGAAACAAGATTGTAAATTTCAGAAATTTGTGAGTTTGGGAATTATGTAGTTATTTATAAATTTCTCTCTCATTATTATTATTATTTGAAATTATTATTTTTATTATTATTTTCTTATATACCTCCTGAACACATTGCAATGTGATATGTGTGGGGTATAATGTAGTGTTTGTTTTTTAGATGTTTTAATGAAGTGTTTTAAAAGTCAAAGTTTATATAATATATGTGTGTACTGTGAATATTTATTATGTATATATAAATACACGCACATACAGTATATATTTTGAAAATATTTACATGTATATATTTATATTCATATAAGTTATATTATGTATAAATATATTTCATGTATAAACAAAATTTTTTTCTTAAATATTCACATGCATGTATGTGTATTTATATATACATAATAAATACACTACCGAACGAACGTTTGGGATCAGAACGATTTTTAATGTTTTTTACAGGAGTTTTTTATGCTCATCAAGGCTGCATTTATTTGATCAAAAATACAGGAAAACTATTTAATATTGTGAAATATTCTTATGATGTAAAATATTTTTTTTTCTTTTTTAATATACATTAAAATCTAATTTATTCCTGTTAACAATATACACTACAGTTCAAAAGTTTGGGGTCAGTACATTTTTATTCTTTCTTTTTTTGAAAGAAATGAAAACTTTTATTCAGCGAAATTGATCAGAAGTGATAGCAAAGATTTATTTAATTAATTAATTTATTTATTTAGTCATTTAGCAGACGCTTTTATCCAAAGCGAGTGGTACGAGCTGGCCTGGAAGACAAGGGGCAGACAGTGTCTAAACAAGACGTAAGAGTGGAGCAGAAAGTATCAGTAGCACGGTTAACATCAAGAGATGATAACTGTTCAGGGGAAGGAAGCAAAGATGAAACCATAGCAGATAGCCGGGAGGGTGAGAGAGCGCGTAGGTTATATTTATATATTATATATGTTATTTATATTGTCAGAAAAGATTTTCAATAAATGCTGTTAAAAAAAAGCTCTTTTTAACTTTTTATTCATCAAAGAATCCTGAAAAAAGTATCACAGTTTCCCAAAAAATATTTGGCAGCACAACTGTTGCCAACATTGATAATTCTAATAATAAATCAGCATATTAGAATGATTTCTTAAGGATCATGTGACACTTTAAACTGGAGTAATTGGCTGATGGAAATTCAGCTTTATTCCCTGCTTCTTGGTTAATTAAAGTCTGTTTGTTTAAGTTTATTCCCACGTCTCCTCAGGAGTGTAACAGAACACCGAACCTGCAAACAGTAAGCGGCGCCCCTTCTCCCCGTTTTTTGTTTCCGTTTTTGAAAGTCTTTTTTTCCCTCTCGGTTATTATGGAAACCGCTGCGAGATTCGCTGCCCTAGCCCCTAAGGACCTTCCCTTTGTGGAGTTCGCCAGGGAATTCTCTGGGCTCGCCGTTAAGATGGCATTGGATGACGCCACACTTAATTCTTTGTTCTGGATCGGCGCCAATTACCATCACCCCATAGACCTCCCAGACACCACTGGACTGGAGTTGGAGGGAAGGTATCCTCCAGTGTCCAGCCCCGATCCAGAACCACCGCTCCTCCATCAAGTCTGCCGGCCGCTCCATTGTCAAGCCCTCCAGCCAATCCGAAGTCCAGTCCACCGGCTGCTCCATAGACAAGCCCGCCGGCCGCTCAGCAGTCAAGCCCACCAGCCGCTCCAGCCAGCCGCTCCATCGTTGAGTCCACTGGCCGCTCCATTGTCAGGCCCGCCGGTCAATTCACTCCCAAGCCCTAGGATGACAGCAGTTACCTCCTTCACCTCTGCCCAAAAAAGGAAAATGCAGAGAAAGAGACTGTGGGTTCCAGCCCCTGAGTCCGCTCCAGTGTCGGGACCAGCCCCTGAGTCCGCTCCAGTGTCGGCTCCAGCCCCAGACCAGAGTCAAGACATGGCTCTAGCCCCAGTTTCCAAGTCCAGCCCAGAGAGGGCTCCTGTTCCCAAGTTAAGCCCAGAGAGGTCTCCTGCTCCTACACCCTGCCCAGAGAGGGCTCCTGTTCCCACGTCCAGCCCAGAGAGGGTTCCTGCTCCGCCATGGCCTCCTGAACTGCCTGCTCCGCAATGACTCCCCGAGCTGCCTACTCCTCCAGGACTCCCTGGTCTACCTGCTCCGCCATGGCTCCCTGAACTGCCTGATCCGCCATGGTTCCCAGAACGAGTACCGCCCTGGAGGCCTTCCGTCCCATGTAAGCCTGTCCCTAGAGGCCTACAGAGCGCCCACCCCCCCCTTCCCGTTGGAAGTTATGAGGCGCTTGGACACGCCTTCTGGGAGGAGGAGGTAATGTCACGCCTATGGACTGTTCTTGTGTTCCTGTGTTGTTGTGTTTTGCTACCCATGTGCTCCCCGTGACCCAGTTTCTCCTCGTGTTGATTGAGTTCCATTGGATTCACCTGTGTTCCCCTAATCATCCTTGTTATGTTCAGTTTACTTAAGCCCAGTGTTTCCTGTGTCTAGTGTTCAGTGTCTAACGTCATTTTGAGTCTCATGCATTCCCTGCTTCTTGGTTAATTAAAGTCTGTTTGTTTAAGTTTATTCCCACGTCTCCTCGCCTCCTCGCTCCCCGCTCCTCAGGAGTGTGACAGTAATAACATTTTGCAAGATTACTGGTTTTTTTCTGTATTTTTGATCAAATAAATGCAGCCTTGATGAGCATAAGAGACTTCTTTAAAAAACATTACAAGTCTTACTGATCCCAAACTTTTGAACGGCAGTGTGTGTATGTATATATAAATTTTTTTTGTTTTTTTTTTGAGAAAATGGAATAAGAAGTTTTTATTTGCTCTGTGTCACAATTTAAGGAATTTTACTGTATTTATTTGTAAGAGGAAAATAGGATGATATGACGTTTGAAGTGAGCCTTTATCAGTCTCTGTATCTCAGCAGGTGTTGATGCTGTAAATATCCTGGAGTGCTTCCTCTCTCTGAAATCTTTAATGTCTCCTGTATGATGTGTGACTATTTTTGCCTCTGGCAGATGTGTGTGCGCATCCTCACTGAAAAGTCTCTATATGGAGGAGGAGGAGTCCTTTTCAGCTGTGACGTTCTATTGATATATATGGTGAAAATCAGAAATGTCTCCTCTGATTTGTCAGTGAAGTTGTTTGATGAGATCCTCTGTTGTTTCTAATAAGGTAATGATGATCTTGATTGGAAAGTTTTGGCACATACTCTCTCTTTAGGGGGCTGACAGGAGCCAGTTTCTTCAGAGTGTTTGAGGGAGCTGCGGAGAAACTTGTGCTGCATTTTGAGCTGATGAAATAGTTGAGCAGATGGAGAAGATGAAGACCTGTCTAATGCTGATGTTTCTGATAAAACTCATCACCTCTGGTAGGTTTATACTTTGAATCAATGAGTAAACTAATCTCAAATTAAACATTAAGCAATTATATTATGCTGCTGCTGACTGTCACACATTATCTAAAGTACATTTTGATCATTTATTAATATATTTATTAGAGCTGTATTTTTTCCCTTTTTTTCCTCTTCAATTTGTCTGTTATTCATCTATTAAATTAACAGACCGTGTAAATGTGAGGTTGGTTGGTGGTCACAGTCGCTGTGCTGGTAGAGTGGAGGTTCTTCATAGAGATCAGTGGGGAACAGTGTGTGATGATAGCTGGGATTTGGTTGATGCTGCAGTGGTGTGTAGAGAGCTGGACTGTGGAGAACCTGTAGATGCTCTGGGTGATGCTCATTTTGGATTAGGAACAGGACCGATCTGGATGAGTACTGTCATGTGTACTGGATCAGAGTCTACGCTGAAAAACTGTGGCTTATCAGGATGGGGTAAATCTCCCTGTCTTCATTCTAAAGTTTCTGGAGTCATCTGCTCAGGTGAGCTGTTCCAAATTACTACATCACTCTCTAATATTTTTCTCTGATTTTAAAGTCTAATAAACTCTAATATTTTTTTTAGGTTGTACATGTATACCAAAAAAAAAAAAAAAACAACCTCTGTATCAGATGTAACATCTGTACATCTCTTCCGTGTGTACTGAAAATTGTTAATTAACTCTACAAAAAGTTTCAACTCCTTAACGTTTTTTCTGTGTCTTAGTTAAAAAGCATTAGCTAGTGCTTTTTGTAGTGTTTTTCTCCCTAAATGTTTTTTTGTCTGAGTGATAAGAATTCCACTCGTGTATGTGTGATGAGTGTTTTTCTTTGTTATGAAATTATCAGAAATACTGTAAATGTAAATACTGTACTGTAAATGTTTTGCTAAAAAATTGTTTCAGAGATGTAAAAAATATATCTCTAAGAAATCTAAATTTAAGGAATATTTTTTCTTTAAATCTACTGTTATTATTGCTGCTGGTGTTAACAACTATGTAAATGATCTGTGTTGTTTCAGAAGTCAGGCTGCTTGGAGGTTCTCGCTGCTCTGGGAGGTTAGAGATCCTTCATAATCAGACGTGGATGTCAGTGTGTGCCGCTGCCTTTGACCAGCAGGATGCAGAGGTTGTGTGTAGAGAGCTGGACTGTGGGGCTCCTGTACAGGTGCTGGGAGCAGCTGCTTTTGATAAAGGAGATGCTCAGATGTGGACACAAGAGATTCAGTGCAGAGGAAATGAGTCTCAGATTCACCTCTGTCCAACATCACCATCACATGAAAACGACTGTTCTCATGACTATGGTGTTGGACTAATGTGTACAGGTTTGTATAAATGTTTTACTTTAAGTAAAAGAAAAAGCATTTTTATAAATGCAGTATTTTTTATGTCTGTGTTTCTTCACAATTTCAATATTTATTTGTCTCTGTCCTCTACTGTATCTTCATCTGTCATTCTCTCTGTTCAATATTTAGAACATGTGAAAGTGAGACTGCTAAATGGTAGCAGTCGCTGTGCTGGTAGAGTGGAGGTTCTTCACAGAGGTCAGTGGGGAACAGTGTGTGGTGCTGGTTGGGATATGGCTGATGCTGCAGTGGTGTGTAGAGAACTGGACTGTGGAGAACCTGTAGATGCTCTGGGTGGTGCTCATTTTGGACAAGGATCAGGACCAATCTGGACAAATTTTGCCATGTGTACTGGATCAGAGTCCACACTGAAGAACTGTGGTTCATTAGGACAAGGTGGGCAAGGCTGTGATCCTATTGGAGATGCTGGAGTCATCTGCTCAGGTAAACTGCTTCAAACCTGTCCTCAGTAATGAACAACCTGCCTCAAATCAACCTCTCATTAAAATGTGGATTTATTTTAACTGTTTAGTTCAAAAATTTCCAATTTAATTTTTTTTCTTTTAAATTAACTAATAATCCGGTAACACTTTACAATAGGGAACACTTATTCACTATTAACTATGACTTTTCGCTCAATAAATTCCTAATTTGCTGCTTATTAATAGTAAGTAAGGTAGTTGTTAAGTTTAGGTGTTGGGTTGGATTAGGGATGTAGAATAAGGTCGTGTAGAATAAGGCATTAATATGTGCTTAATTAGTACTAATAAATGGCTAATATTCTAGTAAATTGTTCAGGAGTCAGGCTGGTTGGAGGTTCTCGCTGCTCTGGGAGGTTAGAGATACTTCATGATCAGACGTGGATGTCAGTGTGTGACGCTGCCTTTGACCAGCAGGATGCAGAGGTTGTGTGTAGAGAGCTGGACTGTGGGGCTCCTGTACAGGTGCTGGGAGCTGCTGCTTTTGATAAAGGAGACGCTCAGATGTGGAAACAAGAGATTCAGTGCAGAGGAGACGAATCTCAGATTCACCTCTGTCCAACATCACCATCACATGAAAGCAACTGTTCTCATGACAGTGATGTTGGACTGGTGTGCGCAGGTTAGAATTAATTTCCTTTAATTGAGTAAAATCATTTTTGTATTTTGTAAGGTTTTTTTTGTCATTTTTTTTGAAGAACTTTTCTTTCTTTCTGTCCTTCAGTATTTCTTTGTTTCATTCTCTTTGTTCAATATACAGACCGTGTAAATGTGAGGCTGGTTGGTGGTCACAGTCGCTGTGCTGGTAGAGTGGAGGTTCTTCATAGAGGTCAGTGGGGAACAGTGTGTGAGCATTTCTGGGATATGGCTGATGCTGCAGTGGTGTGTAGAGAGCTGGACTGTGGAGAACCTGTAGATGTTCTGGGTGATGCTCATTTTGGATCAGGATCAGGACCAATCTGGCTGAGTACTGTCATGTGTACTGGATCAGAATTTACACTGAAGAATTGTGGATCAGCAGGATGGGGTAAACCTGTCTGTGATCATCGTCAAGATGTTGGAGTCATTTGTTCAGGTGAATGAGATTAATCTTCAAAACATTTGGGAGCACACAAACACACCTACTTTCTATCTAAATAGGGCTTATTATGTGAATTAAGTGGTTAAATGAACATTTATTTAAAAGGGTCTTTTTTTTGTGATCTCTGTGATTGGGCAATGCTGTGCAGTACCAGCAGAGTCTGTCAGGTTCCAGTGATGGTCCACTGCATCCTCCACAATACAGCACTCAGGACTGGCCCAACAGTGCTGCGCAAATTGTGTTCAGCAAGATTTTGTGTGCATGTTTGTGTGTGCAAGTAAATGGTGCTTTGGGAGGGTGCAATTGATTAGTGAATTTTGCTCTTTTTATTTTGGTAATTTAATATCATGTAATGTTTTTGGGCAAAAATATATCCTGATGCGATGTTGATTTTGTCATTGCTCTACAGATTGGCACAATTTCATAAAACTAAAAATATGTTTATTCAAATTTTATGAGTATTAAATATACTCTTAAAATTGCCACTCTGCATAAATCTATTTTGTGTGGTTTTATTTAATATGAACAGATCATAAACATTCCAGACTTATTAACGGATCTCACCTTTGCTCTGGGAGAATAGAGGTGGTTCATGGGAACACATGGCACACAGTGTGTGATGCTGCCTTTGACCAGCAGGATGCAGAGGTTGTGTGTAGAGAGCTGGACTGTGGGGCTCCTGTACAGGTGCTGGGAGCAGCTGCTTTTGGCAAAGGAGACGCTCAGATGTGGACACAAGAAATTCAGTGCAGAGGAAATGAATCTCATATATATTTTTGTCCACATACATCTTTAAGCAAAAACAACTGTTCCCATGACAATGATCTTGGAGTTATATGTTCTGGTTGAGTATATTTTCCATGTATTTGTGTGTGTGTCTGTGTGTGTGTGTGTGTGTGTGCATATGGGAGGTAATGCAATTTACGTAATCTGAATTTTCAGAAGTAAAAAGTATGCATTACTTTTTTATGCACACCATTATATCTAAGTTAAGTTACTTTTCAATTAATTGATTACAAATATACTTTTTTACGTTACTGAAATTCTCTCTTCTCCATGTTGTCATGCAGACAACAGTACACTAAAATGTGCAAAAACACACTAGACAGAACGTGCATGGTTTATTCTGTATTGTGTTTTTAGTTACTAAATATGTGTCACTTGCACTGTTGTCAAACATAACCTAACCGGATTGAGCATTAATTTGCTAACTAATTATACAAGATTTCAAACAATACCATGCCATTATCAACAACCAGTATTTATAAACTAGGAGAAACTGATTCCAATTTGAGACAAACACAACAGAACTTTAGCACGTCTGTATTGCAAAAGTAAAGTAACATACTTTTTCATAAATTTAACATGATTAGTTACTATTTTGGGGATTTAATAAAACATTTTAAAAGTAACAGCACTGTTTGTGTTATGCTAGCAGAGTTTTACTGATCTATTCACTTGTCTCTTGTTTTACACTGTTTAAAAGAATTCTCATGTTTTGTCCAGGTTACACTGATCTCAGGCTGGTAAACAGTTCAGACTCTTGTTCTGGAAGAGTGGAGCTTCAATATAGCAGTAAATGGGGCACAGTGTGTGATGCATGCTGGGATATGAGAGCTGCCAGTATCCTCTGTAGACAGCTGAATTGTGGGATTGCTGTGTCTGTTGTGGGATCAGACTGGTTTGGAGAGGGAAGTGGTGAAATCTGGGCTGATGTGTTTGATTGTGACGGGAATGAAACAAAGCTCTCAGAATGTTCCATCTCTTCGTGGAGTCGAGCTGAATGTTCTCATAGACGAGATGTTGGAGTCATCTGCTCTGGTAAACTTATTTAATCAAGAGAGTCATGAATGCTTATACTGAAAAAAAAAATCAATTAGCAGTACCATTTCTGTAACCTGTAACTACAATACTTTGTTCAACATTAAATCTTCCCTCCAGATTCTTCTCTGGCTCGTCATTATGGTCTGGTGCGGTTATCTGGAGAGAGACAGTGTGAGGGGGAGGGGGAAGTTTTCATTCATCAGGTCTGGAGGAAAGTTCTGCTGGACCCCTGGAGTCTCACTGAATCCTCTGTGGTCTGCAGACAGCTGGGCTGTGGCTCTGTGCTGAACTTCTACGGCTCCTCTTCATCCAGTCCTGAACACAGTCATGAGTGTGTGACGGGCTTCCAGTGCTCTGGGAGTGATGCTCATCTGGGGAACTGCAGCTCTCCACAAACCGTCAACTGCAGCTCCACACAACAGCTGTCAATCACCTGCCATGGTGAGAAAAACAACGTCTGGGCAGATTCTTCAGTTGTTCGTGGTCAATAATGTGTTTTTCTTTCTCTGAATATCAGGTCGCGGGTCCATCAGGCTGGTGGGTTCTGGGGGAGACTGTGCAGGGAGGCTGGAGGTTTTTCACAGCGGCTCATGGGGGACAGTGTGTGATGACTCCTGGGATATTAAAGATGCTCATGTGGTGTGCAGACAGCTGCAGTGTGGAGTGGCCCTCAGTAACCAGCAGGTACCAGCCTGGTTTGGTCCTGGTTCTGGACCCATATGGCTGGATGAGGTGGAGTGTGAGGGGAATGAGACGTCCCTGTGGAGCTGCTCTTCTCCAGGCTGGGGAAAACATGACTGTAAACACAAGGAGGATGTAGGAGTCGTGTGCTCAGGTAAACAGTGAAGAATAATATAAACAATAACATTTCTATAACCTATGTATGTGACTAATTAACAATATCCAGTGTACAGTTATTTGCATTATACACATTAAGAACAGGGTTAAAAAC